CCCATAATTCTCCCACACTATTTTCCTTTTATTTAGTAAACACAATTTCCGTAGAAATTGGCATAGGCCTTAGATACTCCCTTTCCTTTTAATATATTTTTATCAGTCTATTACTCTCTCCTAACCCAGGTTCAGGTTTTGTAAGCTAATTTAACGATTAGTGAACAAACTTGTAATAACACTTAATTTGAAGCATAATATATCATGACCTATCAGGCCAAATTTCATCACAATTCCACTAAATCTTAGTAAATATGTGGCATGATTTTTATTCAATTTGGTTCAGAGAGTAATAATATATTAATCCATTTTTAAAAAATGAAAAAATATGTCCAGTAACTTACTTTGGGATGTGATAACTCAAGATCCACTAATCCAATAATACCACCATTCGATTCGCCAAGACTAAATGGATTGAATTCTTGTATTATTGTCCAAATTGGATCAGTGAATCGCGAGATATCACGTCCCAAATTCCTGGAAATATTTTTTTATTTTCCCATTTTTTTCATTTTTAATCAGATTTTTATCAGATTTTAATCTGGAAATTTGTTAACAAGCTTGTGATTTTCCGGAACTAAAAACTGGATCTTTTCTTGGTTATTTTCTTTTATTTTTTTACAGGAAACGTGCATGGGATCATTAGATTTGCTTAATCAGCTGTTTGGGCAGGACGGACAACGTGCTTTTTGAAATATTGGTCAATTACATATATTACCTAATTCTGCAAGATAAAGACGAATTTCATATATAATGTATCGGAATATTATATATTATTAAAATTTGAATACTTGGATAAAAAATTGTATGTGTTGCAAGTGAAAGATAGGGCAATCCGGCTCTTGACCTATATTGAGGTCAAATTTTTTATGCTTCATAATAAGTTGGGAACTTGATTTTGTGATTAATGTATATGGGGTGGTGACTAAATGTATATGGTTACATGTATATTTCAATTTTGAGAACCATACTAATAACTGCTTTTCAGACAGAAGCATCCTCTGCTGGTCGAAGGGGCTCTGAACAACCACCTTCAGCAAGAGCTTGGAGGAGAGACTTTTTGTTTTTTGCAAATCAACTATTTATTTCATTATATTAATCAAAAATCACTCTATTAGGGCTCAAAATTACAATTCCATCTATGCTACAGCTACAAAATCGAACAGACGATGGTCTATCAAGTCTGCCGCACAACCTTAATAATTCATACCATGCATCATACAGAATTCTTTTGAGAAATTCTCTTAGCATTTAATGCAACTTTTTATGTCGATTTTTCTGATTTATATGTATTCCATTAAAAGTATTTTGAGCGTAAAATACAATTATTATTAAGTATAAAGCACATTTATCTTTACAAATTGGTGAGTTATTGTATACTATATAAACATACTATACAAATATACAATTAAGTAAACGATAAAATGGCTTCAACTATAATTTGCATCGTTTCTTGACTCAATTTTAAATGCTTGGGCAAGCAATTGGCATCGTATTGAAGAATTATGACAATAACGAAAATTAAAGCAAGAAACTCAGATGATATATTCCATTAGAAATATGAATAATAATTTAATGAAAGTAATGCATGTATGCTGCAAATGATCACATAAAAAAGACTAATTTCTAATTATTTGTTTCAATTTCCATAATTCTCCATTTGGCACAGTTTCTTCGTCCAAGGCAAGAAATATCAGAGTTTATAGCGCCTTGATCTATATATTTCAAAATTAAAATTGTGAAACAAAAGAATGAGTATGTAGTTTTTCTTAAAACCAGAAAAATAACAATTTCCAAGTTTGATTGCATACCAGGTGTCAAAGGTGCTCGCGGACCAGCCATGTCAGTTTTCACCTATGAATGAATAATGAATAAATGACTGGATTAAATTGAATAGGAATTGGGTAAATGGAAAGCTAAATTCACCCACCCAAGACAGCAAAAATTGACTAAAATATTTTTCATTTCAGCTTTGAAGCGTCTCGCGAGGATATGGCTTAATGTCGTTACTCCAGTTTTCGAGACGCCGTATGTTAAATATTATATATTAAAAATGTTAGTATGAAAGTGTTATCGAAGTATCCAAATCAATGAATTTAATAAATTAAAAGCTTCTGAACCTTGCGTGGGCCAACCTTCTTGTTCCCAAGTACCATTGTCGACCGCATCCTATTTAATCAACAAAACAATATAGACTAAAAGTAAACTTAAGTTAACAAAACATATAATGCATATGCCTTTAATTAAAACATGATTATAAAATAATATTAAACGTACAATTAGTTAAAAAAAAATTACCTCCGTGCTCACGATCCACAACTCAGCCGCTTCATTAATGCTTTCTTTACTCATCAAATCAATCTTCAAAAATTTGATAATAATATTTCCACCATCGCTTTGCAGTAATTTATGTTCAACGAACTCTTGTTCTATTTACTCCAGTGGCGTTTTACCAAGCGACTCGTTACGAGCGGATAAATAGATAATGAAAGGTTGTTTTGATGGCGATAATGTGAAATAACGCACTATTGCGTAACCAATTCTTTGATTCCAATAAATAAAAAATTGAATATTAATTTGTTAAAGATAGAAGAGTAGAAATTTTCTAATTACCGGGCCTGTGACAATCGCGACTTTTACTTGATTGCTCATATTAACGTTAATTTATTTGAAGTTTTCGTAACAACGATACGTAAATCTTTGTAACTGTACTGTTCTCTGACAAGTATTTTTTGGTCACAAATACGTAAACAGCGTACCGGTACGTACATACTAACGCTAATACTAATACGTACAATGGAGAAAATGCACATATAGCGATAGAAAAAAATTGTACCAAATACCGATACGTTAAATGAAAAATGACATCCACCGAAATTAACGTAACATCCGCAACGGCACTCCAAAATCATATCGCTCAAACAATAAAAACCTTCGATTACTCTATTGATCGCACAAATTAATTTAAAGGCGTGACACACATTTTATTGAACGTTTTTCCGGATTGGAGTGAACAGGAATTGGAGTTTTTTGAGATTACGAGTGGGTTAACGAATAAACGTTTGTTCAAAAATGTGAACGTCAATATAAATTTGCCAAATATTATTTAATCCTAGGAATTTTTATTTTAAATGATAATTTAGTTGTGAAGGTTACTAATAAAAAACTGGCTTTGAGGCATTGGTTCGCATGTGGAAATAATTCCGAAATTTTTATTGATCGGGAGAAAGAAATCTTGGTTTATATATAATCAGATCCATTTATATTGTAACTTTATAATATATAATATTGCCGCCTTATCGATACTTGGATTCGCTGCTCCACTCTACGCAAAATTCAATAATGGAACGGTATATGGGTACATTCCAGGCGAAATATTCGCTCAGCATGAACTTAAAGACCCGAATAAATCTGCATTAGTCGCTAAGCATTTGGCTAAACTCCATAGAGCCAATATTGCTGCTGAACCGAAGAAACCAATTTGTTTGACAGTATTCGAGTGTGTTTGAGTTAAGATGAGCAATAGATTGTCCAATATTCGAATTAATATCGAATTACTAATTATAATTTTTGCCAAGTACCTGAAAAATACACGAACCCTAAAACTAACGAGAAATTCGTTAACAATATGAATTTAAAGAAATTGAAGGAAGAGGTAAATAGACATTCACTAAATTGCTTTAATTGTTCTGTTCTCTGACTTCAAATTTTCTTTTCTTTTAAGATGTGCTTCCTCGAAGAACAACTCGTAAAAAACAATAATCCAGTGGTATTTTGTCATAACGACTTGCTATATCCCAATATAATCTATAAACTCCGTAGCATTTAAGTATGGCAGATATAATTATCGTGGATTTGATATTGAAAATTATTTTAATACCTTCGCCGGTAAATACGTATTAGTCTAACAAATAAAAATTTTGAATATGAAAATAATTAATTGAACGAGTAATTTGTAGGGTGGCAATGTGATTATAGCTTATACTATAATATATCAAGTTAGTCAGAATAAATCGAGTTAAATTTTGTGTATTAAATAGAGACCAAAGTTACCGATGCAGAAGTAGAAGAGTTGTATCGAGAAGTAGCGAAATTCGCACTTGTCTCTCTTTTCTACTATAGTGTATGGACATTGGTAGGTGTAAATCAAATAATGCAATTTACTTATTTATTATAGTGTCAACAATTTGTTTCTTTTCTAGCTTTCCTCTGAAATTTCTGACATCAAGTATGATTTCATGGAATACGCCTACGAGCGTTGAGAAAATATTATCGAATTCGTGAAGTTCTGGCGCTTTAATGTCACAGAGCAAATAAATTATAGTGTTAAAATAAAAAACTCAATCATGAGATCAATATCGGGAACCAGCATTAATGGTGGATCGCTGATTTATCGAGGTGTACCTGTCTTTATTATCTTTTTCATCTTAAAAATCTTGTATTTATTACCCAGCTTTCTTGGCGACCTCTGAGAGAATATGGATCATCGTTTCGGTTGGTAATTTGTCATTTTTAGCAAAGGAGTGGAAGCAACGGAAAATATTGGTGTCGCTCATTACATGTATTAAGAAACACAACTTGTACCATAATAGAGTAACGGAAAATAATGAATCAATCAAAACAAAGATGTGTATTAAGTACTTAGGCCTTCTTTTATATAAAAGGAGCTCAAAATCGATGGTGAGAGAATTGAACAACGAAAGGTGAATAAGTCAGGTGGCAAAAAATTGTTTGGTAAAGAATCACGCAATATATTTCCGAATTCAAGATTGATTTAGGACGATTGTTTTCGCTAATTGATGATTGATTCCATGGAACATTCCAATTTATATGTTACGCAATTATTTCGCCAGATTCAAGGATTTATAAAAACTTCAGACTAAAATTAAAATATGAACAAAATAAATCAATACAAAGGTACTGTTGCAGTTTCGTTTTTGTTTGGACGAATTGGGGATTTTTACCGCAATAAGACTTTGGGAGAGATTAATAGACTGAGTGACGTTTGTTTCGGTATCTAAAGTCTGTACCGATATCTATGGATATCGTTGATTATGTAGATTAAGGGGAAAACTTAGGTGTTTTGGATGGGTGTTCGGGGGATTTCTCTATTGTTGCTTTTTATAGATAAAAGCCTTAAACTCTTAAAAATAATAATAACGATTACACAAAAACAGTTTCTTAATAATGGTACGACAACACGATTTTACGAAAAACAATGCCTTTTCTGGTATAATGGATCTAACCATCAAGCAATGTATCATTTAATGAAGGAAAGGATGAGAGTTTTTTACAAGCAATAATTTACTTAGGAGGATAATAATTGTACAAGAATTCAAGTTTAATTTGCTTGGAGAAGAATTATATACAATTTCAATTCTGTTCTTTATTAGTAACCCATAGGCTGTTCTTTTATACATTTTTTGTATTATTACATTTGTTACTATTATTTCTTAAAAACATTAACTATTAATAAAAATATTTATAATGGACGTTCTACCATCTATGGAAGAAACTGATGCAAGAATTGAAAACTGATGGAAATATGATGAGGGAATGCTGAAAAATAATAAGGTGATGCAAGAATGATGGGAAGATGCTGAAAAAATGATGAGGTGATGCTAATAATGATGAGAAGATGCTAAAAAATGATAAGGAAATGCTGAAAAATGATGTGTGCCAGATTCATACCGCAGCTGTTAATTATCTGACTGACTGTACACCCAGTGGCATTGTAGATATATACATATCAATATATATATATAAACGTACTAATCTTATCATTAAATGACATTAAAAGAGCCTTCTTTTTAATGTGTTCTGTCTCTCATTTAATGCATGTTGTTGGGCGCACGTAGTACGTACATGTATTTCTGTGTCATTTTTTGATACAAACACAAACAGAAATAAACGACGACTTTCATACTTATAAATAAATCGTCATTTTTTAAATAAAACACTGCCATAATCACTAATAAACTCAAGAATGACATCTAATACTCATGATTGTAGTAAATGTTATGATTGTCCAGAGGATTACTACTGCACAGTGTGTTCAGTTCACAATATTCATGATTGTAGCAATAACTGTTACGATTGTAAATTATACAAGTATTGTAATGAGTGTTCAGTTCACAATACTAATGATTTTATTAAATGTACCAATTGTCAAAAAAATTGGTATTGCAGCGAATGTTTTCTATATCACAAACTTATTTATGTTGAATGGTCTAGTGGAAATAAAGATATCGACAGTCTAATAAATGAATGCAATAATATTGATAAATATAATATATTTGAATGGATCCCTTTTGAAAGATTTACCAATGTTGAATATCTTGCAAAAGGTGGTTTTGGTTCAATTTATAAAGCATCCTGGTTGGACGGTCCAATTTATAAAGCAAGCTTGTTTGAAAGTCAAACACATAGGTCTTGGAACCATGAAGAAAATAAATTTATAAGAAATGGAAAAAGAAAAGTTGTGTTAAAATCACTACACAATTCAAAGCAAATTACGACCGAGTTTATAAACGAAGTAAAATGAACACCTTTAAGTGTAAGCATATTACTTTTTTGTTTTTCAATCTAAATAACTTTTTCAAAATTAGCTTTAGACGGCTCTAAGTGTTGTGATGATTATATTAACGTTAATTATTATTGAATAACTAAAAACCCAGCTACAGATGAATACTCGATAATGATAGCTATTCATGATTGTAGTAAATACACTAATTGTCAAGAATCGAACTACTGCCATGTATGCATCAATTATCACTACCAAGTTTATAAAGTTGAATGGTCTAACGAAATTAAAGATATCGGTAGTTTAATCAATGAGTGCGCGGAATTCAGTGGTAAATCCGAATGGATCCCTTTTGAGCGATTTACCAATATTGACTATCTTCCAACCGGAAGAATTTTTAAGGCAACCTGGTTGGACGGACCATTTCACAAGTGGGATCATGAACAAAATAAATTTAAACGATAGGGGAGAATTTAGAGTTCTGTTGAAATCATTACGTGATTCAAAGCAAATTACATCAGAGTTTAGAAACGAGGTAAAAATTAACAACTTCTAAAATGTAATCAAGTTGCTTTTTGTTTTCTAATACAATTAAACTTTTCAAAATTAGATGCAGACTGCTCTAAAGTGCAATAATTCGGGTATTAAATATTATGGAATAACTAAAAACTCAGCTACAAATGAATTTTCTAACAAAAATAAAGATATCGACCGTTTAATAAATGAATTAATGATGAATTCGAATGGATCCCTTTTGAAAGATTTACCGATGTTGAATATCTTGCAAAAGGAGGTTTCGGATCAATTTTTAAAGCATCGTGGCATGACTACGCGTGGGATATGAAGAAAATGAATTTAAACGAGATGGAAAGACAAAGAAATAGTGATGAAAATATTACACAATTCAAAGCAAATTACATCCGAGTTTACATCCGAGTTTATAAACGAGGTAAAATGAACACCTTCTAAAGTGTAAGCATATGGCTTTTTTGTTTTTCAATATATTCATTTTTCAAAATTAGATTCGGAGTGCTCTAAAGTGCCAGTACAAGAACAGTGGTCGATATATTAGTTATTTTGGAATAACTAAAAATACAGATACTAATGAATATTCGATAGTGACGGATTATGCAAAACGTGGCGATCTGCACAAATATATGAATTCTAACCGTCAAAAACTGAATTAGCAACAAAAATTAAAATATTTGCTTAATATTATTGGAGGGCTGAACAACATTCACGAAAAAAAGTTTGTGCATCGTGACTTTCACCCTGGAAATATATTATTGCATAAATATTTTATTGCACAAATTGTCGAGTTTGGACTTGCTGGGCCAGCAAATTTAAATAAATCTAACCAAGAAATTTATGGTGTACTTCCTTATATGAGTCCGGAGGTGCTAACGGAAAACCATACACCAAATCGGCAGATGTTTATAGTTTTGGGATGATTACACACGAAATTGGAACAGGCGAAAGACCATTCGGTGAGCGGAGTCATGATACACTACCTGGACAAAAGTCTTGCACACTGAAAAATTTTAATTGTACAAAATTACACATAATAATTATATTTCAA